AAGTCAAAAATTTAAAGCCAGTTATCCTGAATTTAAAATTAACATTTTTAATTGCAGCTCTTAGTGAAATACAGGGTGTGTCAGAACTTGCGCCCCAGAGAAAAATTTTAAGTAAGATAAGATATCAGGAAAATGAAAAAATTTTTTTTTAATTCTATGTCAAAAAATTTTGACATTTATTTTTTGACATTTGACATTTTTTATATCTATTTAATGATACTGATGATCTTGTATATGATTTTTTACAACTATTTAGTAAAGGTACAAAAATTTTGCCAATAAAAGCCACAAATAACATTGAACAGAGTTACAATTTAGGATGCAGCTTCCTTGTTTCCTCTTCTAATAGCCTGTAGCAAACAAACTTGAAAAATTAATTCCAACAGAAATAATTAGAATCAAAGTGCAAAATTTAAACTCTCATAATTACGAAATTTTTATTGATAATTTTTTTTAACATTTTTTCTATGTTCTTGGTATCTTACCATATATGACAAGCTCTGGCGCACCCTGTATTTGAGTAAATCAAAGAGAATGTTTTTTTTAATAACTACGCAACAAACAAAATAGAAATTAACAGAAAGTAATAAAAATTACAAGTCAAAGCTCTGGTTTGTGGCATAAATAAGGATCTTTTAGTTCCATTTTTATTTTCGGCTGAGAAAAGAAACAGTTTGTTTATTTCGGCGCCTGAAGTAAACCGCCGTATTGTGACACTCGTTCCAACAATATTTTCATTCCAATTAAACGCAAGAGTTCTATTTCGGTATCAAAAGGACTAAACCAAACTCAAAAAAGCAAAATGTGCGTTGACCTTTACTGTACAGACAAAAACAGACCGCCTGTCAACATCAGTAATTCGAATACCCGCTTTCCCAGATTTATAACAAGCTTTATCGATCAGTATCGATAGTCGACAGACCGCCACACATAAATCTAAGTACAGACCTGCCCCTGGCGGCAGAAAGAAGGTGCTTGCTGCTTTCATTTGAGTCTCTTTTATTGTTACACCGGTAAATAATGGCATGATGAGAACCGGTGATAACCAGGAGCTCGCACTGGCTCATCTGTCTTAACTGTGACATTACCAGGCCGTTGTTTCTTTTACCGAGACGTTATTTAAACAAACACCGCTTCTTTACCGTGTTAATAAGACTTATATTTAGATCGTATTAATAGCAAAGGCATGTGGTTGAAATGCTCAACATTAATCATCAGATATTGGGAAAATATGACAAACACTTCCTTCTTCCTCTAAAGTTTTCTTTCTCTAAACAGGTAAGCCACAATAAAGCTCAGCCGAAGAATTCCAATATTAGTATTGTATTTTAGAAAGTCAGTAATAAAACATGTAATATTTAGCGTTGACGCTCTTGGTATGGTTATTTATACCAATAAAAACGTAGGCGATAATGTACTTTATACTTCACTAACAAATTTGAAACAAACGAAAGAATGATTGTTGAAGTTGTATTGCATAGGTAATAAAATAAAGTCATACATAGTTACAAAATCAAAATAAATCTCTTGTGACCTTAACATGTTGTCTAATGATTAGGTAAATGGTACCCGGCCATTTGAGGCTTTTATGAAAACATTAGACAAGACACGAGGAACATTAGATTCGATTAAGTAATTGTATAATGACCACACAGTCCAATTTATTTTATCATATAAAATAGAATAAAATTTTTATTTTATGCAAATGAACGTGTCAGTGGAAGCCATTTCATAGAGGAACACATAAAGCTAATTAAATAATTATTGTTCTGAGAAAGCGACAGCTTTTTTCGGCGCCAGTGGGCATGAGTGAGCTTGATGAGCATCGAACTGCTTCCGGAAATGAAACGTAAAAATATTGCCTCATTTTTCGGTGTAAAATCATAAAACTGTCTTATCTGTAAAAAGCTAAGCCTCTGGAAATTGAAGACATTAATTCATCAAAAATTCAGTCTCTCTTATCTCTTGAATAAATTTACACAGATGTAGTTGACGTGGCGGCAAACGTCATCCGCTGGATGCGTTTGAACCTATTAGCTCGCTCAAACAACAAAAATAGAATAAATCAGCACTTGGTGAGTTTATTTACGAGAATATAAAGTAACTACTGAAATATTATTTCCTTTTTGGAGGCAGATTCACTCGTAAAAATGTCATGATTATTTACATGGTTGAAAGTTTTAAGGATGTTTGTGTAAAGTGAGACACACCACGGCGGTTGGATAACGACTGCTAAGAAACGCGATATGAGGGAGCCTCCCGTCATACAGCATCCACCTACGAGGGGGTGATTTAGTCGGGGTTTCGATATAATAGCTGGCTCTTCTTCTCGAGAATAAGTCTATTACGACTGCGAAAAACTTCGCTCTTCCTGCATAAAGAGCTTTCTCCGACTTATCGTTGACACTAAATTTTAAATATCTTGGGCACACACGAGGTATCAAGTGGTTGACTGTAGCCTAAACAAACGCATCCCCGGTTTGAGACAGAAAAAAATGTTTGTCGGGGGAATTATAAATATTTCCATATATAATGAGGCTTAAGACTAAATTATGGCTCTGTGTGGGTTAAAGAAGAGATATTAAAGTTGCTTGTGTGGCAGTTTTTTTACAGTTTTGTAAAAGGCTCGAGAGATTATACTTCGCCTCTCGACGGAGTTAATTTTACGACCCTTTTAATATTTTAGCGATAAATGCACGGAATCATAAATATTCTTGATATAATTATCCGGCTTAGCGAATTGCTGCCAGCACCTACAATACCAAGGAGTTAACTTATTTGTTTTACCGCATTTGGTGCACAAACACAACGCTAAATCGCAGTTTTAGTTCAACGCAAACCAAATCTCTCGTCTCCAAATCTGTTTTATTTGCGATATTTATTTTGTACGAGGATAACAAAAGAAAAAGACATGCTTCCAATAATTTCAAATCAAATACAGATTTCTGAAATGTCAAATAATTTTCCATTACTTGACGTGGTTTTACGGTGACAATAATATCAATCAATAAACTGGGTTATCGTCACGTTTATTGGAATATCCGTTGTTCGTATTTCTTTGTTTGACGACAAAACACAGAATAACTAATAACGACTCGAATATGACATCAAGAGATGCAGAGGTCAAGAACAAAAAAAATTAAACAATCAGTTAGAGATAAAGAATTAGATCATTGTAACAGTTACAGTAAATAATGAGCTCATTCATAGTTTTAACAACAAAAGAAATTTAATTAATAGTTTCAGCCAACTCTAAAATTATCAATACTAGCTTACAAGATGCATTTTAAAAGAAATATTTTTGAAATATACATTTTCCAAAATTCCAGAAAACAGAAAACCTCTAAATCAAATCTGATAAAAACAAAATAATTGTGGTCAGAAGTACCAATTTGGGGTAACCTTCACTTGAACCCTACTTATGTTAATAATATTGCTGTTACACTTTTTTCGACTTTGAGGCCGTTTTTCTAGTTATTACCATAAAAAAATTCTAATACTATGTACTTAATTTACCTAAACTCCACTCCACAAAGTGGTTAGCTGTTTCAACAAGCATAAAAGTGAAATATCCACAACAATTTGGAATGAGCTTTATGTTAAAAAAAGTAAGGAAGTACTAATACATTTCTACAATAAAATAGTGCACCTGCATTTTTTGTTCCAAGATTTGATGCAAATGTGTAAGTAATATTAAATATGTATACTAATTCACTAATTATACAAAAACCGAAGTGTACGATTTTTACTATTCTGTGTTATAAAATTTACATTCAAATTTGTTTTCATTTTCTACATTCAGAGTGATGTTTGTTTGGGAGCCCGGGTGATCGCAAAAAGTTTGTATTTTTCTTAAAATGTTTAAACATAAAAAAATGTTCATTTCCAAAAAAGTAGGCACCCAAAACTTTGACAAATTTTTTTCAATCAAAATGTCTCTAAGCAAAACGAGAATATCGCAAAGCGTTCAAAAACAAAATCGTGCTATCAAGAGCACAGCAGTGTGCGAGTGGCGAAGGCGTGAACATCTACGCATCAAACTGACTGATCACCATGTGCGCACTGTTTCCAGTCCTTGCTAATTATTCTTGCGCAGGGGCCCTTGCTAATATCCTTAAAACTGCGTGTGCTAATGTGACGTTCGAGATTGGGCGTGTTAAATACCTCCTTTCGCTTCTACAAACCTGTTACTCACTTTTTTTTTAATATTTTAGCATTGAAATTTTTAGGATCAAATTATTTTGCTTCTATTCTATTTTGTTTAAATAAGTTTTAGCAACGAACATTTTACACATAAGTGTCTTTGGTTTTTTCCGATTTTGTATTTTTAATATTTACTGTATGAATAATTCGTTTAATACGTATTTTGGACTTAAACATTTTATGAACAGTGGATTTTACTTTGAATTTTTTGACAGTGAAACACCCTCCGTTTGTTTCATAAAAGCACTAGGTATACGTATTATTTCTAAAATATTAAGTGAAAAGTGAAATTAAAAATCAAAACTACATCTAAAAAAATAGGGGGGTCAAAAGTAAGATATTAAATGTGTTTCTAAATACTATTCATTAAATAACATTTGAAAACTTCATATTGAATACTCGTATAAAACCTATAAATAACCACAATATCAAACTAGAGATAAAAGATCGCAATTTATTATAAAATATTCAATAATTTAATTGACTGAAGGCTAGAACTGTAAGATAGTACTATCTATTTCAAAATACTTATTCGTCATTACCGCAAAAGTCATGGTGGGTATTTTAATATTAATGAATTCATGAATGAAATAATTAATTCACAGAATGAATGTGTTACCCCGGTTTTAATGTACACAGATCTACACGATATGAATAATTGTTTAATTTAAGGTATGCTCCTTTAAATTAAAAGGGAAGTAATTTCTTAACCAAATTTGTTTTTTATTCTTTATAACCTCGTCGAAGTGGGGTATAAAGTTAGAATTTACTTTGGTATATTTGAAATAATTACTTACCCTTCACATGATATAATCCATATGCCTCTGGGCAATAGTTAAAAACGATAAATTCACATGAAATTCATATAATAAAGATTAAAATATCCTGCAACGGCACTCGTAAAACCCGCGTAAAGCTCCACTCGTAAAGATTCAATTCGAGCCGCTGCACAACAAACGCTGGAACGGAACACTAAAGCGAAAACTCGGATATCCAATGGTGAGAGGTCCCTATCTGCCCCCACCAAGAGAGCGTCTCCCACCAGCGAGTCCTGGACCTGGCCCACCTAATTCCTGGGCCTAAACCTCCGGCTCCGGCTTCCCATATGTTCTATACGAAAGCTCGAAGGTATATTCCCGGACTATGCAGTGCCTCACCCCCGCACAGGTGCCCACTAATAATGCATAAGTTCACATCGACCCGGCTCAGCACGACGCACGCCATTGGCTAATTATTACCTGGCATTCTGGCCAGACTCGGCTGCTATCAACCGATAATGTGAAAACTTTACGGATTACGGAATGTTTTTCGGATCGTTCAAAGTTTTATACACGCGATGAGCTCGGGTCTTGGGGGATTATTCAAATGAAACGCTCTGCGATTAAAAAACATGGGCCTGATATCGCCACGATATTTATTTTTTAATGCTGGCACGTTGGGGGGCCACAAGAGAAATGATTTTTTAGCTGATGATGGTTTTAATACCTCCAAGAAACATAACCACATTTTATGAATATTTGCATAACACATACGTTTTAAATGAGGAGAGAATTATTTTATTTGAACATTCAGGTGGAAGATGATACTATAAAATGTAAGTAACTGCTAGGAGCTTTGACGGTGTTCACTTTTTCGTTTCTTTTGAATTTTTATAAGGTTCACAAAGTCATAATTACAAGCAAATGAGTGGGTATTATCCAAAATAAACAAAGCGCTCAGAGAATGTACATACATTCACATATTTATGAAATTTAAAATTATGTTATTTTAAGTACTTTTATTAGGAATTTTAAAAAGATATTATTTGATGTTTTAATAGATTAAAAATATGTTACCTACATTTCTGCCATAAAAGATATGTTTCTCCATATGAACAAACTCTATAATTGACACTGACAGTAGAGGAAGTAATAAAGAATTTAACAGAAAAAAATATTTGCTTTCTTTGCTTTTAGAGTAACTACATATCGCAGGTGTACAAGGAAAATCAATTAAATCCACAATTATACATTTTTGGGAAAACGTATTTTTGCTGTATGTGTTTTCTTTAAACTGGACTTATACTATTATGCACAGTTCCATAGCTCTGCATTAACAACAGATATAGACTTTGTTAGTTTTTCATGTCAAAGAACAAACAAATATGGACTTTATGGGTATAATAATTTTGCTAATTAAAATTAGCAAAAATTGGACTTAATTGTTTTTCCTTGCACAGTCATGGACAGTGAATTTCGTCCGCCCTTTTTCCATAAATTCACAAAAATTCACTGCAGTCTTTGCTTTATTGTCATGATGGCAGACATTTAAATACGTATTGTCAAATCTAATCGAATTCTTATTCATTTTGGACCGGTTTTTCAACCTGAAAATGGATTGGTACTATACCTCAAGCAATGTAAGACAAAACACAGGAAGGTAGCAAAAGAGCATCGAGGATTCTGTCAACATGACAAACGTTAATCAAAATTCTTTACACTTTTAGTCTGTCATGGAAATTGGCCAGACGAAATTCACTGTCCGTCACTGTACACCCACGACATTACATTTAGCTGTAGGTATACCTACATAAGAAATTTTAAACCAACTTTAAAAAATCAAAAAATTGTTTCATATTTAGCTAACTAAAGACAAATTTTCATAATTAAAAAAAAACACATACCTACCAAACCTTGAAAATTATGAAAATATCAAAAAACTTAAAATAAAGACAAGTAAAAAATTATGTATGTATACATACTCGAATGAACAAAAATAGACATAGTTTTAGTAATTAGTAACAATAGTTTTCTATAAATTCTTTGCTTTGGCATATAAAAAATTAACATCATTTTTTAATGTGTTACTTTCACCTACTTACATTTATTAGTCAATTGTAGTTTAGTCATTCTTAACATTTGACGAAAAATAGAAAACATGGTTGGTTAAAAATTCCCAGTAAGACAATAATAATTAAAACAAGCGCAGTGTTAAAAAAGAATAGACAATATTTTGATACAAAAAATTTATTTAAAAAAATGTGTGTAGTAAAAGTAGTGTTTGCTTTGCTAACCTACATAATTATTCATGAAACTTTCCTATTTCCCCTAAATAACTTAAAAGTCATGAAAAATGTAAACATAACTTAAATAAATCAAATATGAACATAAATCCAGCTTTGTGGGGTCCTCGGTTTCTGTGTAATTACACTTGAATAATATTTTCTAATTTGTATCATGCACAATAGAAAAATTAATAGGGTCACGTCGCTGCTGCCATCCATTTGTTTGTTTAAGCACCTAATCTTTGCAACAACAGAAAAATAGATATAGGGATCCATCTCGATGGGGTGCATTGGTAAATTATACAGGGACTACAGTCAAATAAATGTTAAACCTAGACATGTCGCCCCATATGGCTTAGTGAACGTATAGAGTACACAACTAGTCAAAAATAGGTCATATGTTGCCTTTGGGATATTATGTAGACAAATAAATCACGCAGACCAATAAAGATTTTGATCCGGACAAGTTCCATTGTAACGGAAATGTCATGTGTTCAATAGGGTTCGGATCGGTATTATGTTTAGTTGATTCGTCCATATCGAAATCAGGGCGTAATATTTTTATCGGTATTGAATTTTTTTAGTAGATTACTTATTGATACTCTAAAAGCGTTACTTTTGCGACAGTTGCATTTAGTATAAAGCCAATGATAAGAAAGTCTTTCGAAGTGCAAATGACAAAATGCATCAAATTTTAAAAGAATTACCGGACTAATACGGAAACAACTCTCAGGGTGTTTGTAGCCATTCATCATTGTTTGACAGTTTTACGATTGTGTTCTGGGACTGTTTTTGAACCTTGTCTGAAACTATCAATCTCTGAAAGAGTATTTGGAGGATAATGGCGATGGTCGAGAATTCAAGGCGAAACTGTTCCGGGTGAACCCAAATTACTTTAGAAATTCCATTATTTCAGTGCCTCTATTAAGAAAAGAATGGAAACGATAATACTGCAATGACCAGTCGGAGGCGTGACGACGTCGGCCAACTTACAATAGAGTTTACGAACCATACCATCTGTAAATTCATTCGATACAGTCAGTTTTGGTCGGACACATAAACGAACCGCCGTCGTCTGCAGCCCACATCAACCCTAAGTGATAAATTTTTACCTTTTCATATCGATTGGGGAAATATTTGTTTGTATACCTGACTTCGCAGAATAGAAGCTTTCAAAAGAAAGCGTATGTTCGAGGTGTATTGTGCGTAGAAAAAGAAAGTATCAATAACGCAAGGCAAATTTTGACAAATTACACCACAACTGCTTAGGATCGGGAAATTTGAATGCAGGGTGGTATTAGATGTTTGCTATTACAAAAATTAGAGTAGTAAGAGAAATTAAATTAATAACTGTATATACACTAAAAAAATCTGAAAACAAAATATGTATACGCATTTTGTAATATAAGTTACAACACGAAATCCTTTAGATCCTTTCAGATTTTGTAATGCTTATTTGCAACAAAATAAAGTACAGAGTGAATTAGGCTTTATTGTTGAGGCATCAATATTTATAATACATACATTAGTCCTTTTTTTAGGAGCCTTGTATAAACTTTTGGTAAGTATATTAGACCACATCTGTTTCGGAAATAAAATAATTTATCTAATTTTTATGAAATAATTGAATGGAAAGGTAATTTTAAAATAATTTTTTAAAATTATCTAATAATTTAGTAAATACATATAAAAATATTAGTAGATAAAATTTGAGTTATCCTTGAGGTCTTTTATTACTTATTTATTTTTATACCTGCATGAAACTAGAGCAATAAAAAACTTCTCCTTTAATTAGACAATACTATACATTTAAATCTTTTTTAATCATCATGATACCGGTGTTTCATGTTATTCTAAATGGCTGCACAATGTTGTTTTTGGAGTTTCACAAAGTAACGCTCTAGGCCTTTCACTTCATAAAGTATCCTAAACAAAATCAAAGTAAAAAAAGTTTATCACAGGTAATAGGTTACAATATTAACAGTTACCTACTATAGGTACAGGGTTAGTCACGGGAGGTTCATTTCTGAATTTGTTTTTGCCGCAACCCATTATACATAATAATTATTAACTAAATTAACTAAATCTACGATAGCTGATATTAATTASTCTTGTCTCTTTGACATTAAAGCAAAAAAATCATCTCTCAAACGATGCGATATGTTTTGTTATCGTTTACCAACCGACTAGGCGCATGTATAGAAGTCGATGGTAGACACTTCAAACACCTTTTACATTAACTTAACTTGTTAATTTATTTGTTGAATTTTGATTAAATATAGGTTATCTGTCAATCTGACATTTCTGGCAAATCTATACAAATTACTTTGATTTGTAATTTAATAAAATAACATATTTAAATTAGCAGTTAGTGAGATTGGTATTGTTGGTTGCGGCAAAAAAAAATTCAGAAATAACCGTCCCGTGAATAACCTGTATATATAAGCATATAAAGTAATATATGTATAATATCCAGTGCTCTAAACTCTAAACAATTTAGAATTTCAATTGGGTACAAATAAAGTTTAAACGTTACTTAAACCACAGAAAAGTTGTAATTTCTTGTGAACTTAGCAGTCAGTTTTACGATTGTCTTGGAAAAGCATCTGCAGACGAGTATCGTAAAACCATAATTTAGCATGATTGCCATCGGCTACATTTAAAGAACTTGGACGATTACTCGTTACAAACTACTTAAACCTTAATTCACAAGTTTTATAGATTTGTTTCAACATGTCCAGCTGTGCTAAGTAATAAAACGTACGATGTGTATTTAACTAAATACTGTGACATAAAATCAATTAGTTTATACGAGCATAACGGATGTTTACAAGAAACTAAAGAATGAGGAAATATGACAAATATGAGAAATAAGATCTTTCAAAAACATTAAAGTGTTACTCAATCCTTAGTGTTACTTGACATATTC